TGAACAATGAAACAAATGACGCTGTTGAAGACGTATCACCTGAAAAAGCCACTGTTGAAGAAGAAACTCTACCCGGTTTTGAGAAGGGAAACAGTGAAGCCCTTGATGAAGTTACTACCACTGATGTGACTGTTACCGATAATATGACAATTACCGATGGAGCAGATGAACCTCACGTGAAGAAGAAGCCAACGAGATGGAGACCAGTACGGAAGAAGATACGTCCTGTAAAATTAAGAGATTTTGTTGAATTTTAATTTTGTGTTTGTAAATTCTGTACATTTAATTAAGTTATTGTTAATTTTCTATTGGTTTAATGTAAGTGGCTATTGTTCGGGACGAACAATACTAAGGAAGAGGCAGTGTTACGACAGCGGGGGTCACGTGACTCTGGTAACACGTCATGATATTCTTGAAGGATCGGGGAACATCACGAAAAATCCAGTATGTGCTAGGCGCCCTCTATTCCTGTATATAAGTGCGCCGTTTAACGTGAGACTAATCAATCGAAATTGAATTGCAGAGAGAAATAGAGACGGACAATTGAGACAAGCGCGTAAATCGTTCGTTGTGAATTGTAGCGTTTGTTTAAGTTATAGCGTGACTGTGGAAATTAAGTGTATTGTAAATTTGTATTGAGAAAGAATAAACTAGTTTTATTTAAGAAAGGAATTGTATCGCTAAAGTTTCTTCGGAAAAAAATGTTACGGAAAATTAACAAACGAACAGAGACGTAACGATACTAAGAATCCGTTTCTTTTATACTTAAACACGCACACAAAAGGAAATACCACAGTTGTTTGGGATATTCGCGCAAAGCTATACAAGAGTTTCCTGCGTTAGCAATCCCTAATTTTGAGCTAGTATGCTAGAGGAATATGGTAGTTAGTCAGCTGCACCCACTGCTAACTCTTGCGGGTACCTTTGTAAAATCGTCGTTCTTACGGCGCAATTACGTCCTCCATTTCTGAAGCAACTTGGTGCGAACCACAAATCCCCGGAATCACAGTCCGATCGCACTAGCCACTATGTTTTAACTATAACCTAAAACATGCATAGTATACACATGAATATTTACTATTTTTCCTACTCTATGTAAATTAACCTAAGACACTTCCCTCATCTTTATATAATTAATACTTGAAACCGTTTGTACTTTGTGAATCTCTATAATTACAGAGTTATGGGGGAAAAAAAAGACAAGTGTATATTTCGCAAATATTTCATTTGATACTACCATGGTTTCGCCAGTAAATGCATGTTAGGTACAGAGTGAAATAGCTTGTAAACAGGTATAAGTATGTTTAACCAAAGTACTGGTTTGGAACCTTGACATTCACCTTGAGGCAAGTGGGGAGAAGCTTAAGTTAAACTGGTCGTTGAGAGCTTTGTCTGGATTCGTTTTAAGACTTCTAT